AACTGCCACCAAACCCCAAACCCAGCCAAACAGGTATCTTTCCTGAGAGAACGACCGGAGTTAACGCCTCCAGCAGGCAGTTCACGCGCTCACAACTCACGCATGCGCATGCGCGCGAGCGGCCGGTGTGTCCCGTTTCCCTCTGACCGCGCGTAGACCCCCCTCCCTCCCGCCGCCTGGAGCTGGGTCTCCGTCCCCGTCACCCCCTGGCGCCCTCATCCAGCCTCATGGCCTTAAGCCCCACCCCCCGCATTCCCAGGATTCCTAGCGCGCTCTCGCCAGCCCCACCTGTCTGCTCTGCTCCAGCTCACCTGCCCCACGGCCCCGCTCCTGCTGGGGCCTCAGGAGTGTCCCGGGCTCCACGGGGCTGGCCCGATGGCCTGCCCCGGGCTCCCCGCGATGAGAAATCTCACCGCCTCCCCCCACCGCAGGCGTCCAGGTCAAAACGCGGGAGTCACGCTCTCTGCTTCTCTCTCCCTCTCCCTCCGCACCGGGTCCCTCACCCTCGGCTGTCGGTTCTCCCTCCCACGCCCGCCTGCCGCGCCCACTCCGCCCCGCACCCCTGAGAACACGGACCCTGAGCCCCAGCTCCTGTCACGTGGACCCTCCGCCTGGGTCTCTCTTCCCTCCCTCCTGACACCAGCAGGCGTGATCCTGCAATTCCGGCGATGGCTCCCACACTCCCGATGTGCTTACGGGGCCCCGCCATCTGTCTTTGTCTCCAGCCGCTCACGCACCCCTAGGCTCGGCTCGCTCCCGCCACCCTACCCCAAAGTCTGCCGCGGTCTCTGAATTAGGCCGATCAGCGAATCCAGCCTCGTTCTCTCTGACCGATGTGCTCCATGCCAGTGAGTCTTAGTGCCACCTCCTCAGAGGCACCTTACACAGCGCCCCCCAGACACGGCCTCCCTGCCCCCGCTCAGGCCCTGCTCTGCGCAGCCCCCCTGATTTCCTCATAGCGTTCATCACCATCTCTCACTTCTGAGCAACTCCTGCTTGAACCGGCCCATTTTCCCACCCAGAGCGTATGCTCTGATGATGGGCTCCGTCTTGCTCAGGGCGGGCCTCCCAGAGCAGGCTGGCCCCAGCCAGGGCTCTGTCCCACCTGCCAAGTGCTGAGGGTGGGGTGACAGCTGAGCGGCCCCAGGGCACAGGCCAACCAGCCTGCCCAGGACACTGACCTCGGCTGGGGGCGGGTGGTGTGGAGGCAGCTGTCTCCTTCCTGGTGACTCAGCTCTCAAGCCATCCTCAGACACCTCTCCAGGTGTGTCCTGAGGGACAGATGGACTTGAGAGGACGAGAGGAGTGGCATTCGAGGAGGAAGAGGTGTCTACTCTCGACCCCTCCACGGGAGGCTCGGCCAGTCCCTTAATTGCTTTTTATCTG